ATCTCGGGCCCTGCACTCAACGCCCGCACGGGCTGCAGGGCCACACTTAGGCAGCACGGCCTGGCCAGCTGTTTATGCAACGGAAGCGAATATCCTAACTTTATTTTTTCTTGTTCTCTACATCTCGATCTTTTCCTACGAGAACAGTTACTTTTACCTGCACAGAACTTTATTGTTTACGTATTTTTCTTTCTGCTGGGAATTGAACCTAGCGCCTTGTCCACGCTAGGCAAGTGCAGTAGAACTGAGCAAATCCCAGTCTATTAACAGATTTTTTTTTTTTTTTTTTTTTTTTGAGGCAAGGCCTTGATAAGGTACCCAGGCTGGCCTGGAACTTCCTGCCTCAGGCTCCTGAGTAGGATTACAGGTGTGTGCCACTATGCCTGTCTACTGTCTACACACAGCTTGATTGGATACCTTCCTACCGAGAACATGCACATCTCCGAACATTTTTCTCATTACTTGTCGAACGTTGACTGAGCAGTGTCAGGCCTGGAGATGAAGTGGTGAGCAGATGAGGGAGGCACTGTTTGCACGGAGCTCAGAGTCTAGCGGGGGAGGCAGGTTAGCGATGAGGCAGAAGCTACCAGCAATGTAAGATCCCATGCCGGAGAGGTTAGGAGCCAGGTCAGGACAAGAGGTGGAGCCTGTCACAGAGCAAGGCTTCCCCTTCCCCTTTCTCCCTGCACCTCAGGAGGATGGCAGACAAGGACGCAAGGCCTGTGCCTTGGTGGCTTGCCATGTGGCAGTTTGGACTGGTCAGATGGGTGTTTCTGGAGGAGCTCTTGGGCTGGTGTGCCTCCTAGCTAGGTGCAAGGCCAGGAAGAAAGGGTGTAAGGTAAGGAAAGTGTGCGGAGCTTTTCTGGCCTCACTTGCCCTTTGGTAAGGGTGGGAACTGCAGTCGCCTTTAAGGTCTATCTCTGATTCAAATTCAATAGCACCTCAGGAAGGTGGGTAAATTGTGGGGTGGGAAAGGTGACACAAGTAGGGAGATCTGAGTGAGTGGGAGAAGGCAGGAATACCATATGGTCAGCGGGAGAAAGATGGCCAGGGGAGGGTGAGGTCAGAGCCTGCCCAGGTCAGGATAGTGTTTATCACTTACTGAGGTGGGTCATGGAGTCACGGTGAGGCAGGGGGCACCATATGGTGAGACCACGCAAGGTGGTGTGCAGGAGAGACCAGCTTTACAGTAAGCCAAGGAGAGTGACTGGCAGGGAAAGGGCTGGGCTTGGTGGCAGGGGCCACACTGTGAGGTGGGGGAGTTCAGATGGGTGCCCCACAAAAGCAGGTGGCAAGGTAAGGTGAGCACTGTCCCCATCCGGGTGTCCCGGCTCTGGAGGGCCCTGGGTCGTGGGGTGAAAGCCACTCCAGCATGGGAGGCTCTGCTCCAGGCGGCCACAGGTTAGGACAACGGCGGAAATGTCAATGCGTCACTGCAGGGAGGGGCCTGGGACCGGACGCTGTAAAGCCCATACCCAGATGTCCCCACCAGTCCTGACAGTGATGTGGGATTCCCATCTTTGTGTCTTCCCTCGGGCAGGGCTGAGATGGCTGCGTGAGTGAGCCTTGTTCAGCCAGGTTCAGAGACCTCAGGGCATCAACGCCCGTGTGCAGCGCCCGCCGCTGTTTTCCACAGTGCAGGCCAGGCTCTGTTCCACCGTTCTTCGCAGCCTGAGCCGTCACTGCTTTTGGCAGACGCTGCAGCTCAGCCCTGAGTGGCTCTGAAGAAACAAGCCATGCTTTGTTTTGGTGCCGGGAATGGAACTCAACCTCACGCTTGCCACTGGCTGAGCAGGTGCTTTTAATGACAGGTTAAGGGCTCAATCTGTTTGTCCTTTGTCCCTGTGGTGGCCTCCATGTCATGTCCTTCCTGGAAAACCTCCTTTCTATTAGGTGAACCCCATGCTGCTGCTTCAGACCAGCTCCTGCTGTGGCTCCCGGCTGTCCACCTGCCTGAGCCCACCTTCCCCTGGGTGGACATTGTCACACTGCCCGGCATCTTCTCTCACACCCTATGTGTATAACATTTTTTTCTGATATAATAACCAGCTCTGGTAATTCACCGTGTGGCCCACAGGGATCCTCCCATGCCAGTCCTGGACCCCGCCCATGGAGATATCTGCACTGCCAGGCCCTCTCCCGCCTCCGGCTGTGCTGCCTCCTTTTTGACCGAGTTCTCTCTGGAGAGCGGCACGGGTCACTAGTCCTGTCGTGTCCATTTCCCTCGGTCTTCTTGCCTCCAGTGTCCTTATGCAACCGGACAACGCCAAGGCTGGGTGATCTCACCAGAATGGAAATTTCCTTCTCGAAGCTCTGAGAGTCCTAGGCAGGGCACTGCAAGGCTTTCGGGCAGCGAGCCAGCTCTGCTTCCAAGGCAGTGCCTTGGGGGCTGCTTCCTGGAACACGGGAGGAGGTGACAGGGTTCAGGTGCCAGGGTTCAGGAAACTTAACCCTAACCCAACCTTGCAGTGGGAGATGAGCAGTGGGTACGCTTGTGGGGGCTCTTAGCCCTCACAAAGTCCAGGCATCCTCTGCCTCATGTGTCTTGACCGGAGCAAAGCCTGTTTCGGTGACCTGAGAGCGTGAGCCAGGAAGTGAGGGGCTCATGTGCGTGCCCAGAGTTCTGCCCTGTGGGGGTGCACAGGGTCACGGGGCCCCCAGACCTCATCTGCTTCCAGGTCCCACCATCACACTGTGGCAATATTTGCCCAGTGTCTGTCACTGGCCGCTTGGATGAAGAGACTGGGGTGACCAGTTGACCAGTCCTGGGTTAGATGGCATCCTCTGGGCACCCCCCTCCCACAGTGCTCAGCTCAGCTTATGCATAACTGTTTGTAAAGCTTCTACAAGAGCAGAGTAGCCCAGCCTGGGCCTGGGCTGTGTATGAGAAGGTTCTGGTTCTGGTCCTGTCTCCTTGTGCAAGCTTTTAGCAAAAGTGGCCCAAGGAATGTGGGTCAGAGGGAGGAGATGCTGGGCTTGGGCCCAGTCTGGGCCTGTCCCCTCCACCTCTGCGACTGTTCTCTGAGACAAAACAAAGCCAACCACAAAAAAGTTAACTTCAGTGGATTTCAAACTTTTTTCTGTCAAATACATATATATTAAATGACCATATATATTAAATGACCTAAATTTCTGATGATTTTTGTTTTTGTTTTTTGTCTTTTTGAGATAGAGTCTTGCTATGCAGTTCAGGTTGGCTCTGAACTCACTTTGCAGCCCAAGATGGCTTCTTTTTTTTTTTTTGTCTTTTTCATTTTTATCGGTACCGGGGATCGAACTCACGACCGCCTGCTTGCAAGGCAGGTGCTTATGCCGCTGAGCTAAACCCCCAGCCCCCCAAGATGGCTTTGAACTTGCACCAATCCTCCTGCCTCAGCCCCCTGAGTGCTGGTGTTACAGGCATGTGCCACAACATTTGGAGTGTTTTTTTTTTCAAAGTTAAAATACAAAATTTACATTTCTTTTGAACAGTAGACATGGAGCACCAGTGAGTGCCACCAGGCTGGGTGACACTGTGGCGCTCTGGGCTCCAGAGGTCCTGCGTGGTGTCCTGTGGGCCTGTGCCTGTGGCTACCATGGCTGAGGCTCCCTTTGGCACACGCAGAGCTCCTAGTATCCTACCACTTGGCCTTGCCTGTGCTGTCACCTAGGGTGTTTCAGGGCTTGTATCTGGATCACGATGCCCGGGGCCAGACCTTGGTCAGGCACCTCAAGCTCTCTGTGCCTTGGTCTCCCCACTTGTGAGTGAGCAGCAGCAGCTGCCCAGTGGGCTGTGGGAACTCTGCACAGTGCCGAGGCTGGTGGCACCACCACGTATGGTTCTGGGGCAAAGGCGGGAGCTGTCACCAGCATCACTGCTGACTCTCCACACCAGTTCTGGAAGCAGAATGCAAGGCAGACTGGATTCGCAGAGTGGGAGCTTCGGTCTGCCTGCTGGGCCATGCAGAGTCCCCATGGGATGGTTCTGTCCACCCAAGGGACCCCTCCTAGGGGGCAGAAGCAGATTGCCAAGGCGACATGCCTTGTCTGAGTTGCCACCTCGTATTCAGTGTGTCCCTGACCAGCAACCCAGCTCCTGGCAGAAGAGTAGCCACGGTTCTCCAGTCCCCAACTGGTCACCGGGTGCTCCACCCCACAGCAGGAACACCCTGGCCTCACTGCCGGGCTCGGCCTGTGCCCGGCACCCTCCCAGGGGGCAGTGGGTGGGAGAGCCGAGTGGTAAGGAACCCAGGCTGTCATTCCCAGCAGTGCCCTGGCCACACGGGCCTCACGGGTGACTGAAGGGTGATGCGCTTCTGTGCCTCAGGAGGTACCCCTTTATGCCAGTCCCATTCTGAGGCCTTCAGTAGGCCATGGGTGAGGGTGACGAGCTCTTGGTTGAGGAGGAAGGTATATCAGGACCTTAGATATGTATCCTCAGTAATTCTGCTCTATTTCCATGGCTTTAATCTCTCTTTATGAATTTCTAAAAAAAATTCATAATTAGAACTCACATTAAGCAGCTTTCTATAAATTGTATCCTGAGTCACATTTGTTCCCTCAAAAAACAGGAGGTGCCCATAAAAAGGTGCTCCAGCCCTTCCCAGGAAAGAAGTGGAAATCTTGCTTAGGGAATGGCCTGGAAAGGCCGCTGCGCAGTGGCCACTCCGGGACGCCTGCTTCCTGCCCACAGCCGAGGCCCTAGCAGCTGGTCCTGCCCTGACGGCAGCCAGGGAGTGTGGAGCCAGCCTGCCCCGCACCAGGCTGGACTCAGTCTCAGGGTGAGCAATAAAATTCACATGTCCTTTATTTAGTCCATATAATACACTGTGTTTAGGGTTTTTTAAAATTAGATAAAAGAGCATATTAAATGGCAAGTGTATGAAGTTTTGCTTCATAAACAATGTCAAAACAAAATGTTCTGATTACAAAATGTTAAAAAATATGCTGGTACTTAACATTTCACTAAAGCATAAAGTTACAGATATTTTCTAAAGAAAAATAATTGTGCCACTTCCCTATTTTTGCTGTTTCTATGAACTTTTTTTTATTCTGTACATAGGACATTTTGTACAAAATATGAAGTCTACATTTTTATTACTTATTACCATAAAACAAAGATACAGTGTATGTACAATATTAAAAGGAAGCCATACTAAAGCCACACTAAAAAGACACTGGGAACTGTGACATTTCTGGTGTACAGATGTGTTTGAAAGAGTGAAGATGCCACGCAGGACTTTACGAAGAAAAACAGTCACCGGTTTATTTCCAACGCAGTGTTTTGGATCAGCTCGGTACAGAGTACACAGTGTCTCTCTAACATGTGCCAGTCGGACACCAGCTCAGGGAACCCGAGTACTGAGGGGGAAACTTGAACAGGCCAAAACAGTCAGTAATACTCTCGCCAGAGAAAATTCGTTTCTTTCAAAACGGTTTTTCCCTTTCCCTTATTGGTGAATGTTTGTCTTCAATAAAGAGCAGAAATAAAACCTAGCCCAAAAGATGCTCTCCCAGGTGGAGTGTTACGGCCGCCCAGCCTCGAGGCTGGCTTTCCAGGGCAGGAGGGGCCTGCCCAGGGCCTCTCCCACTGCCATGCCGGACGTGGACATCCGGCTCAGGACATCGGAGACCCACCCCGAGACAGAAGTTCAAACAATGGATAGCAAAGTACAGAAGATGCTGCTTTATGCGATAAAAAGCACCCTTTTTCCCTCAAGAGGAGAAGGCATCTAGACATTTTTTAAATCATAGATTTCATAATGGTAGAATGGATAGCTACTCGTCAAGTTTCTCAGGAAGTGTCTTTCCCACCGAGTGGACTGCCGGGCCCTGCGCCGGGCAGTGCTCTCCTTCAGTGCTTGCGGCTCCTGATGCAGAAGCCCCTCCCCGGGGCGAGCATCCTCGCCAGGGGCAGCACCCCGCCGGCGCGCAGGGAGCAGTGTCTGATTTCACCATCTTTTCATGGGTACCCAAGACCGCGAATGAAAAACAGATCCTAAAAGAAGCACGCTCGTCTCTGAGGCATCGAGACCGTTAACATGAAGTTATATATATGCGGGACGGAAGAAACAGGTCACTGTTTAGAAGAGCAGTACACATCTCAAGTAGCTTTCAAGCAGGATAAATAAGTCAAAAACTGGCCACCCTGAGAGAAATAAAGAGTAGACAGAGCACTAAGTGTAAGGGGTTTCTCCTCGTGCTACTCCACCTAAAACAAAAGCTTAATCCATGCAAGAAGTCTGTGAAGTACATAGCAGCATTTGAAGACTGATGAAACTCAGACACTTCTCCGGGCCGGCGGGGAGCCCAGCCCCTCTTCCTCTCCGCCCGCAGTGCCCAGGCCACGGCTGCTCCCGCTACGCTGTGCCCAGGCATCTGCCAGCTGCGCCAGGCCAAGGACTGGCTTAGCTTAAAGTGACCCTGCCCAACCTCCTACAAAACGTGGGGTTCTTAGACTGTAACCTTATTAGTTCAGGAGCCTTGCTGAAGGGCAACAGTGGAAGTGGTGACAGTTGATTCTCTGAGTAAAAGTACGAACACATAATTTTACAGCTCCAATTCCGGTCAAGGCAGAGAGAAAGCTTTGGGAGGCAAGCCCTCCCGTGAGCTCGCTCTGGGAATCCCGGTGCTGAACCGCGGACCTGGAAATATGGCTTCGGCAGACGCCAGAGGAGCAGGACATGGCACACACACCCCAACCACAGAGAGGCTTCCTCCAGGGACAGTGGTGCTGATTGTCACGTCACTTCCTCAGAAGGCTGTGACAGTGTGGAAGCAGAGACCCATTTCTGTGAGATTAAACAAAAATCCCAGGCGTAACAATCACGTGGAAACAACTGAAAAAGTTGGAAAGTCTTAAAAAAAGAATAGGCAATACTTTTAACCCGCTCCTCTGCTTTGGGAAACAGTGATATTACCCTAGAAGCGCCTATTTTAGAGAAAGAACCACAAATTCCGTTTGGGTGGAACACGAAGGTGGCGAGCAGGGTGCTGGCCAGAGCCCTGACCGGGAGGCCGCCTGACGAGGGCTGTACTGGGCTGTGCGGGCACGGGGGAGCCACCACTGTTTGAACTCCTAGTCTGAGCTGAGGCGGACACACGTTATTGCCTACAGAACGGGGCGGAAGAAGCGTGGACTCTGAGTGACACGGATGGCATGGCACGAACAGCATGACTTTCTACAGAACCAGCGGAGCACCGCGGGCCCGGCCGCCGCGCTCCAAGCTAGCGCCCATCCTGCGAGGCCAGCGCGTCGGCCCTGCAGTGGGCTTCCAAGGCTTTCTTGGTGTGGGGGTCCTGAGGCAGCTCGGACTTGCGGCGCGCAAGAGGACGGTCCTTCTTCAGATCTTTCTGTGCCTGGAAATAGAAATACAATGGTGTTGGCGAGAAACCCAATGACCTGAGCACCGAGTGCACCCCTGAGGAGAAATCAGAGCAGGGTTGGGGCGGATGGGCTCGCCACGTGCTGCAGCCAGAGATGGGCCTCTCATCACGGCACGCTCTGCCACCCAGATAGCCTGCCTACCAAAGTACTCTCGTGACAGCATAAGGGACTGAGGGCCGCCCTGGCACTTGGTCTTCTAAAATGGGTCATGTCTGCAGAATTCACCAGTTTTAGTAAACTGCATAAATACCTCCTTCCTTCCTGCAGGGCACCAAAGCTACTTTAGCACCATGCCCATTACAAAAGTATTTCAGAAAGCACATGTGTCCTCTGGAGGGAAAGAAAAACAATGAAAAATATATTTCAACCAGATTGAAATGTACCTAATCTAGTAAGAGATCTAAAACTTCTATTGAAATTTTTAGAAAGATTATTTAAAATAAGATGCATTAAATGGATCGTCAGGGGAGAAAATCTTCCAGCACTGAGAAAACTTGCGTTTAATTATTTACATAAAAGTTCCAGGTATGGGGCTGGGGATTTAGCTCAGCGGCATAAGCGCCTGCCTTGCAAGCAGGCAGTCGTGAGTTCGATCCCCGGTACCGATAAAAAGGAAAAAGACGAAAAAAAAAAAAAGTTCCAAGTATTAAGGGAAGAAGTAAAAGACTCTCTTCCCCATCCCATTCTCTCTGTGAAGTTTCGGGAATCCTGGTAAATTGCTGTGGACCCCTGACTATGACCGTGGTGCAGCTGTGAGCGTCGGCTGTAACCCGGCTTCTCATCTGAGGGCTCAGGCTCCTCTGCAGCCTTCAGAGCCTCTCTTCTGCACACAGGCAGAGCTCAGTGTTCTCAGGAGACACTGGCCCAGGGTTTCTCAGTAAACCCCCTACCGGAAAGGATATCGTAATGCTCCTTCCAGAACCCTTTGAGGGTTCATTTGTATCTGAGCCCATCTGGAAGCCCAAGCGGCCAGCATCTGGGTCATAATTCGAGACTTTGGTTGTAAAGTTAAAGCTAAAATCCTGGCCATAAACTACGCTGTTCAAATGCCAGGCCGGTCATCACTCGAAGGTCTGCTGTATTTTAGCTAAGTAACCTTTCATTTCTGTAGGAGGATCTGCAATGAACAGGGAGCCTGAGCAAACAGGTGATTCAGCTGTAAAGGGAGCTGCTGCCCTAACAGTAACCTTCCTAAGTCCAGAATCTCCATCCAAATGAAGACAGTTAAAATACGGCAAGGCACAGTGGCACACACCTGTAATCCCAGTACTTGGGAGGCTGAGGCAGGAAGAGTGCCGCCAGTTTGAAGCCAGCCTGGGCTACACAGTAAATTCAAGACCAGCCTGGACTGAAGACCAAGACTCTGACCCTCTCTTTTTTTTGAAACAAGGTCAAACAAACAAAAAATCCCCCCAAACCAACAAACAAATCCTAAAGAAAAGAAATTGCTTTTGTGGTACATCTACCAGAAAAAAATTTAAATTGAATCATTTAACAACACAAAAACTCAAGTATAACAATTTCTGAGAGATTCCGGGTATCTGACTTGGGCATGGTATATAAAATGTGCTTTTCTTTGCTTTCATGAAAAATTTAAGGACCTGCATAAGTCATAAATGAAAAGCTCAAATTTTTGCAGAGCTGCTTTTCTCTTTTAAGGCGGGGTTCTCTGCAGTTACCTCTGGAAACAGCAAAAACATCAAGGTTTAGAAACAATCTTGTGTGATGGTAACATTCCGGGGTCACTGTCAGAAATGTGCTTCAACACCTCTGTGCATCACTGTTTTTGAGACAGTCTGGTGATGCAGTCCAGGCTGACCTGGGACTCATAGTGACCTTCCTGCCTCTGTCTCCCAAGCGCTTGGATTACAGGTGTGCACCACCACCCTGGCTTCCATTCATCATGGAAAGGCAGCGCCTCGGTTGCCTCCCTGGAAGCCTCCTGGGAGGTGGAGAAGGGCATTGAGATCCCTCATTCAGGCTGTCACCCTTGCTGGCTCATAAGAGCACTTCAGCTTGTAAAGCAGGTAGGCCTTTGACCCTTCAGAAACTCTGGTGAAATTCTGCCCTGAATTTTACTGCCACAGTATGCTGGTCCATCAAATAAAACAAAGCAAAGCAAAACCAGGATTTATATATATGAAACCCGTAACTACCACTGAAACAGGCACCCCAAGAGAATAAACATTTGCATAGAGAAAGGCAGTCATCAAACCCGTGGAACTGGGCCCAGCGACCAGAGCTTCGGGAAGGGCAGAAAGCTGAGGGACACACTGGGCCTTTCAAATCGGTATGGGAAGGACAGTCATTTTCCGGACCATAGGAGGACACATGAGACACACAGTAGGTGGGGCAGAATGAGGCACCATGCAGCAGACAGCTGGGGGAGGGGTGGGGGAGGGCAGGTGGGGGCCTGCATGCAGCACGGCGAGTGGGGAGCAGCAGGAGGTGGGCCTGAGGGCCTGAAGACATGAGGGCGAGGCTCAGGGCCAGGGGCCTGGCAGGGTACTGTGGGGGCAGGCAGAGTGGCTGTGTGAGCGAGCGTGCTTTCCTCTCATCATTCAGAAGTAACTTTCCCGACTTCCCGGGACCAAGCTACTCTCCCTCCGTCCCGACCGCCACACGCCACTGCGGGGCTGGAGACAGGGAGGCACTTGGTGTGCACAGGGTGAGGAGCCGGTGCTTGGCGTCCGCGCAAGCCTTGGCACACGGACGCGCGTGGGGACGAGTACCTGCGCTGCCCACCTGCTGGTCCTACACCTTCCTCACTTGCGTGGTTGGCATTGCTTTCCTCCCGACCAACTGTTAAAATGAGAATTGTGACACTGTAAACAGCATTCGGATCACACTTACTCGTGTTCTGTGTGGTTCTGTGTAACGGTGCACAAGTTTCTCGGGAGACCCAAACCGAGGCTCGGACTCACAGCAAACCACCGAGCTGCTCCAGGAAACTGGACCAGGGTTCCCTGGCGCGAGGCCTCCTGCCCCCTCGTGTAGCACCACCACTCCCCTGGCACCCTGGCTTCACCCCACCTTCTGACCCATTTAAAGAGATGTGGAACTGTTTTAGGGGAATAGAGTTAGCTGAAAATAAAATTGAAAATATTCCAATTACTAAATATAAAAATCTAACAGCTTGATTTCTAGCTGTAACTTCTGTCAGTTTAGCTATCAAATTGTGGACATGTATTTTTCCTGCAGCTTGGAACCTTTTTTTCGTAACATTATTTCTGAGACATTCAGAAAGATGCCAAGCATTTTCTAACTAAAGCATATACCACTCAAATATTATACTTATGAATCCATACTTCATAAGTATCTTCATCTATTATGCAGAAATGCAACTGAATTTAATTGATCCAATGAATTTAGTTAACCCACAGAAATCTCTAAGTCCTGACACTGGATAATCTCAATTCTGTTCTTTTTTTCAGCTATTTTGGCTTACTCTAGTTCTCCTAGATTTTCATAGGAGCTTGAGAATCACCTTGCCAATATTTTTTGAGACAGGCTCTCACTATATAGTCTAGGCTGACCTTGAACTCACAGTGATCTTCCTGCCTCAGCCTCCTGAATGCTAAGATTTTAGACCTGTGTCACCACATCTGGCCAGTTCCTCAATTTCATGAGAGACAGAGACAGAGATAGAAGGAGAAAGACAGAGAGCATGCATGTGTGCACGCTAGAATTGTAACAGCAACTGTGTCAATGTGGAGAGAACTGACTTCCCCTTGGCAGAGCCTCCCACTCAGGAACATGATTCATAGAAATCTAAAGGAAAGGTAAGAGTGCCAATTTACAGAAGAAGCACAAAAACATGCCATGGGAATTCTCCCAGAAATACCCTGTCCACACCTCCAGGGAGAACTAGACAGGCAGACAGCTGCAGGGCCGTTCCTTTATGGAAGGGCACCTGTTCTGCTGAGGGCATAGACCCAGCACCCAGATGGGCGGCTACAAACACTCTCGAGCCTGCTGTGTCTTGGTACTGGGGCTGCGCCTAGGGCTTTGTGAAGGCTGCCAAGGGCTCCAGCCCCAAGCCACACCCCAGCCCTTTATTCTGAGACATGGTCTTGTTACATGGCCCCAACCTCCTGAGCAGCTGGAATTACAGGCATATACACTCTGCTGGGCCCCAACCCATTCTCAAAGGCACTTTTACTCACGACAAGAATGCTATTTTGGTCTGTATTTTTGACCAAGTTCTTGATCTATTACAAACAGGACGTAAATGAGAAATATGTCTTAGCTTCATTACATTTTGGGCACAGTTTATACTTTTTTTCTAGCTTTAATTTAGACCTAAATTGAAGAACGTAACGCATAGAAAACCCAACTTTCAAATATTTAATGGGTAAGAAATAGGTTGTAGCCAGGTGTGGCGGTGCATGCCTCTAATCCCAGCACTTGGGAGGCTGATGCAGGAGGATCATTGTGAGTTCAAGACCAGGCTGGGCTACAAAGTGAACTCAAGGCCAGTCTGAAGTGCATAGTGAGACCTTGTCTTGAAAGAAAGAAAGAAAAGAAAAGAGAGAGAGAGAGAGAAATGGGTTGTAAACCACAACTTCCTTTCAGTTTTGTGTGGCCCAAGTATCTTTTTTGTTTTTTGGTACTGGGAGCTCAACTCAGGACCTTGTGCTTGCCAGGCAGGTGCTGGGCCACTGTGCTGTATTCCTGGTCCCCACGTATTCTAAGCATGGACACCAGGTTACAAATCTCCAGGCGTGCCTCCCCGCAGAATGTGCTTCCGTGGGAGGGAGCGAGCGTCTGCAGGGAAGGGCCCATCTGGCCCGCTTGTGGCAGATGCAAAGTCATAAAATTGAGATGGCAGTAAAGAAAGTGGCTCTGAGTTATCTTCCAGGCTGGGCGTGCCGTAACCCCAGCGCTTGAGAGGCTAAGGCAGGGGGACCGAGAGTTCAAGGCCAGCCTGGGGAACACAGCAAGACCCTCTCTTGAAACACACAAACAAAAACCAAAAAGAATCTCTTTCTGAGTTAAAAATCGAGGAAGAAAAATAATACCCTTTAAGCAGAGGAGAGAAAGCTGTTTGTGATGCAGCCTGTCCTCTGCTGAGAGCGGGTGCTCATTCCTGGGGCTCTGATTCGAACCCCAGCTGAGGGTTTGGCAGGGCAGGGGGACGCTGGGCTGGCAATGACAGGTGCGCAGGGCTGTCCAGTCAAAATAGGCCACGGGCCACATGTGCGACCCCAAAGCCTCTGGTGGCTGCACTGGGGAGGTAAAGGTCCATGGGCACATGGGTGTGTCGGGGTATGATCGTTTGAACCCATATCTGTGATGCTGATGATTCCAGAGTCCTGAACATGTGTGTGTTGTCACCTCCAGTGCTCTGCACACACGTGGCTCGCGGCTGCTGCGGGGACACCTGGCAGGGCCTGGCTGCACTGTGCTCTCCTAAGGCCGCGTCCTGTCTTAGCAGCTGGGTATGCGACTCCATCCTAACTGGTTTTAGAACGTGCTCTCTCTGTAGCCGGGCCCCTGGGCCACCAGCACTCGTAAAGCACAGGTGAAAGGCAGGCAGCGATGGGGTCGCCTCAGCCAGCTCACTGGCACCTTGTGGAGGTTCAGTGTGGCTCTACTCAGGAATTCTTTCCCAGGCCCAACAGGGTGAGTGTCGGTGCCATCAGAAAGCCAGCATCCCCGGGCCCACTCAGGACTGTGTCTGTCTCCAGGCCCTTTGAACCTGAAGAAACGTGCCGGTCCACGGGCTGCTCGGCCTGCCCCGGGAAGCCCGGCTCTGCGGGTCTCCACGTGGGAGGAAGAGGCCATCCTGGGGGGGTGGGGCTAACTGCCTCCTCCCCCAGGGCGGCCTGCCACGAGGCCCAGGCCCCGGAGGGGACAAGGCTGTGTGAGGGGCGTTAGTGGCTCGGAGAGCTGAAGGGAGCATCTTTCCACCAGGGCAGAAGTGCGAGGTGTGCAAAGGGAGAAGCAAGATATTACTGCTAAGCTTTTGCCTTGGCTCAAGCTCATTTAAGCAAAACTGAGATTATTCTTGTTAAATGAAGAAGTCAATTTGTGGGCACATACTTAATAGAAATAACGCCTAGCAATCTGACCACTGAGAGGTGTAGATAAAATGTTTCCTGAAAGACTACCAGGATTTAACTGTAGCTTAGCCGAGGGCACTGGCACGCATGGCATCACCCGCGAGAGCACATGTGCTCTCGGGTGGACCTGTGCAGTGCTCCCGCCGGCTCAGTGCTATTACCTGATGAACCTCGTCGCTCACTGTCTTTCTCAGCATCTGCACATCTTCAAATAGAGGCCCATCTGTCTCCATTGCCACCGGCAAGCTCATGGTGCTGGCTTGACTATACACTGTGTACTGCAATGCAAAGTGTGGAGTCACTCTCCGGCAGCACTCAGCTCCACTCCGGGCGCCTGTCCTCCGGGGGGACATGGGCTCCCCACTGCCCTCCCCAGCTTCTCTCCTGCAGGAAGCCCTGCAGGAGACAAACTCGCCCACACTGAAGTCTGCAATCCTGCTCCCTGCTGAACACCAGAAACCCGTCTGTCCACCTGCAGTCTGGGTCAGGGGACCCAAGTCACTCCATGTCCCTCTCTGAGTCCCTGTCTCTGACACACAGCTGACCCACACCTGCGGACGGCCTCGGATGTCCTGGCTCCACAGGTGCTACACCTGACCACGTGTGCGCGAGCTGGTCTGGGGTGGCTTCATGGCCAGCACCTTCCTGCCTCACCTCCTGTGCTCTGCTCTTATCTGCAGACCTCTGTGGTCTCCTCCTTGACTCTCCATGTTGCCCTCATGCAGGCGGCAGGCCCTACATGCCCTTCTTCATTTGTCCCATTTTCTCGGTATCTCCCTAACTTACATAAGCCACATCTGCAGTTATCTTGCTCATCCCCAAAGCAAACTCAATCTGGACGAGTCTCGCAGGGGCCCTGCCCCTGCCAGGGCCGCTGCTCCTTAGGGCCTCTCCGCCCAGAGACCACTTCCCCGGCTTCCCCGCTCCCCGGCTCTGGGTGGGCCAGGTTGTGGGAATTGCAGGTAGCTTGCCACCAGCCAGGACCCTGGCCCACAGCATCCTGCTTCTGTGAGCAGAAAGGAGAGGAGTGGTGACACAGGCTCTTGGTCAGTTGCTTTCAGTCTCCCTGTGCGGCAGGGACAGGGAAGGAAGGGCCTGCAGGCCCGTGGTGGCTGGAGCTGTGCTAAGTGATGAATGGAACTCCACAGGTGCTGGGAGGCCCAAGGTGAGGACTGGGCATCTCACCTGTGGTGCCAGGCAGCAGGAGGGGGAGCCAGGCTGCCCCCCCCAGCCTAGGCGGCCTTCCATCCCAAGTCCCCCAGCCTGGACAGCACCTTACCTGCAGTGCCCCTGCTCATCCCCGGGCTCCTCTCTCTGGTTTCTGCTCTCGTCTCCCACACGGCACTGGGCCCAGCCTGCCCACTGCCTCCCTGGTGCTCCACCATGTTTAGGTCGCCCTCCTGGGCCTCCTTGTGGCAGGGCACGCCTGCTGCGTTGCCCTGTCCTCTCTTCCCTCTACAGCCTGTCACAGGCCCCGTTCTCCTCTGGGATAACAGGCGGCACCCCATGAGCTCGAGCCCTCCCAGTTCTTCCCTAGCACCCTTCTCAGTGCCAGGCCCATGTGCCCACGTCCCTCCAAGTCTTTGGAAACTGGCCACTCTCTTGCTGAGCCGGCTCCTGGGCTGTTTCTTCTTCCCACACTCATGGGTCCTGGTCCCCTGGGGCCACCTGCTCTGCCAAGCACCTTCTTTCCTCAGGAGGTTCCTTTGGCCTGTCCTTGCTGGCACATCCTGCCTGCCATCACCAGAGGGCTTTGGGAAACCGCATCTCTCCGAGGCACTGTCTTTTGCTAGCTCTTTGACATTTCTGGGGAAAAGGTCCAACACTGTCCTCTCTCCAGCCTCAGCTGTGGTGCAGACCTAGTCCTTCCCAAGACCGACACACGCCGGTTCCTGTGCTGTCCTCTGTCTTGGCCGTGCCCTGCCCTGGCCTTGCCCTGCCACCCTGGCTCTTCACTGTGGCTGTGCCGCACCTGCCTTTCTTCATGTGTGCCTCTGAGCCCACGCGTCGCGCCTTCCTCCCCCATCGCTGGCACACTGCCGTGTGTCCCAGTGCTTCCCCTAGGCTCCCCTAATGGGCCTGTGTCAGCTCTCTTTATCTCCTTGGAAATTTCCCACAACTCAGGATACCTCACACCTCGCCTCGGGGGGCTCACAGTGAGACGAGGAGGCACAGAAATAAAAGTCACTGTGACACTGAGGTGGTGGTGCTGGGAATGTTTTTGAAGCCAACATTCCGGTGTTTGGCTGCTCCCAGAAAAAGCCAGTGCCTGGGGCAGCTCCAGCCCTCTCTGATGCAAGGGAGAGGGAAAGGTCCCCAGCAAGCCGCACACAGGGTTCACAGCAAACACGCAGGTGCGAAGGAACGGGCCTCCCGTAAGAGACTCGGCCTTGGCCACCCCCAGGAAGGGGCAAGAATCCCAGGAAGGCCAAGAATCCTCACTGAAGCTCGCAGGGGCCCCGGCAAAGTCAGGGAAACGGCTGCTAAAGTGTTACATGCCCTAAGCACCTGCCTTGCAAGCAGGCAGTTGTGAGTTCGATCCCCGGTACCGATAAAAATGAAAAAGACAAAAAAAAAAAAAAAAAAAAAAGTGTTATATGCCCTCTCTGGATGGATTGGGAAAACCCATCTAGCTTAGAAACTGTCAATGCTTTAGGGTTTCCAAAAATTAAACTGTGTATGACATTCAAAGATCACAAGGAAGCTGCCACCACTGCTAAAACCCGACAAAACCCCGAAGCCACCACAGCTTCCTGAGCGTCAACAGCAGGCGACATGCATGCCCTGTCCTGGTCCCGGGACCTGCTACCTCTAGGAAACGCCGCCAGTGGGGCAGATGTGGGCTGGCATGCCTGAGCCCCAAGACCGCATCCTGGAAACCAGAGCCTGCACTCAGCCCCAGACCATGGTAGGGACTTGAGCAGTGCTGGGGGCCTGGGTCGAGTTCTCCCGGGAGCACGGAAGGCAAGGCCCAGGCCAGCTCCCAGCTTGGGGTGCTAATGTATCAAGTATTTGCACTTGTAGGCGCCATGCAGGGACTGGGGCACAGACAGGACTGTGGAGACGGCACAGATGGTTTGACACAGAGACGGGCTGGGGTGAGGACAGGGGAGGGAGTCACAGAGCCACCCCTCCCAGCCACGGGCCTCGGCCCCTAGCCTCCGACTAGGGAGAACAATGGGTGCTCAGAGGGAGCAGCTGCAGCACACAGCAGGCAGGGAAGCTGGGCCGCAGCCACAGCCGCTCCAGGCAGCCCCCACATCAGCAGCGTTCCAGGCAACTTGTTCTGGGGGAACCAGGGACACCCAGCTGAGAAGGTCACCTGGCGCTGCCATGGCATCTCGAAGCATCGTTTCATCAGTAGGAGCGCAGCCAAGTGCTGGTCTGAGGCAGCGTCCACTCCTGTTGGAGCTTTAGGTTCACTTCTTATTACGTGGCAGAGATGGAACCTACACCCCGACCTGGACCTGTGCGTTCACACTCACCAGAGAACTGGTTAGCAAACTAATTTCTTCTCCAGAGAGCTGAGGAAAGCCCGAGCCCTGTTAGTGCGTTAGAGAGCTACACAGAGGACTGTCATTAAGTGGCACTGTTATCACCAGGCACACAACAGCAGACCAGGCACACCGAGCTGGAGGCTGCGGCGGCCGCCGCACGCACAGAGCTGTTAAGAGGTGCTACCGCAGGCGCAGCCAGGGACACCGGTCACGGGAGGACAGCCACTTCCTGCGCCAGCCAATGCAAACTGAATTTCCTTTCTTTCAGAATCAACTTGATATTAAAAAGAAAAGGAAACATGGTTTTATCATGGTGCCTAAGGCACTTGAGAAAGAAAGCAAATTAGTTTTACAGAGGTTATATATCTTAACTGCCTTTTTACCATGGCATTTTTAAGATTAGTGTCTTATTTAAAAACAGAGAAAAAAGCCCAGCAATCCTGTGGTAAAAATGTGGGTTAGAACAGGACCTGTGCAGCGGAGGGTGCCCGAGCTGGAGCACTCTGTGCTGCAACGGTCTCAGCCTTGGTGCCAGGGAGCTGGTCTCCCTGTGCCCGTGACGCCACCGCCCTACCAACGCCGCACTCAAGAGCACCCTCCACCTCCACGTCACTCTGTTTTAGTACCTGGGGATTCGCTTTGGCTAGGTTTTCTATTTTAACCCATGCTTCTTCTCGCTCCTTCATTTTTAGCTTCTCTCTGAAAAACAGGAAGATGTCACTTGTGTTAGAGAGAATCGTGTGCAAGGGAGCGTGCAGGGGAGTCCAGATGCCATGCGCTCTCTTGTTCCCTGTCCTCTCCTCCCGCTCCCCACGCTGGCTGGCTGCTCCCCATGGGTTGCTCACAATGTGTGTGGGGTGAGAAATGGTTTAACAACTGGCCAAAAGTTAGAGAAGAAGATTTAAAAAAGCAAAACTCCTAAATATTTACTAAGTCTAAGAATTCAAATGCCTTAAAAAAAAATCATACAAGTGAACCTTGTTTCCAGCTCATTATTTGCTTCACACATTTTATTTTTTTAGTTAAAATTATTTTTTAAAAATAAGTTTGTGGGTACACTTGAGATACACGTAATGATCACATGCATCATACGGAATGTGGACCTGTACGTGACAATCTTGATGCCTCTTCCCCTTCCTCCCCTCCCTTTACCTCCTTCCCTCCTTATTTATAAGCCTGTGCTTTCATTTCCTATTTTCTTTCCCTTTCCCTCCCTTCTTCCCGCCTCATTCCCCTCCCATCTGAGTGCTTCCCTCCTGTGGCACAGCGCCTGTGAACAATGTGCGAGCTGCCAGGCCATCGTGTGACCCTGTCTCCGTCAGGGACACTGTGCCTTGACGCCTAGACCAGCCCTGCAGTCGGGGCCCTTGGTCCTCGAAGACACAAGAGCAGGACCCGGCCTTGCCAATCTGGTCAGGCCAGACTGGATGCCTGCAGAGCCCATGACTCTGTCCTAAGTGACAACACACGATGGCCTTTCGGTGTCCCCCAAGGAAAGCAACAGTCTTGAGCGCTAGACCCTTGACCTCGTACACATTTTGCCATGGTGACTAAATTAGTAAGAGAAGGGAGAAGACGGCTAACCTTAGTCATGTGCTCTTTGAAAATAAGTCCAAATAACTAAGTCTCAAAATTTGCTTTCCATGTACGAGAGGACCAGTTTAGCTTTAAAGTGAAGATTTTTTAGGATAATTCAAAATCAAGGAAAAAAATTCTGGCAATAAGGGAAACCTGCAAAAGACCAACTTACTTCAGTTTCTCTGCTTTAAACTGCTGGGTGCAGTCGTCAAACAGTTTTTGGTTCATCTCCATGAAGAGCTTCAGGGCGTTGTATATCAAGCCATGTATCGTCCTGCAGGGAGAGCCTGACGGTAAGACTGGACCCTGGGTGCTGCGATCCGCTCCCTCCTCCTCTGCCACATCCCTCTCCTTCCCGATCGCTTTAGGCTGCTTCCTATGTCAAAGCCCTTCATGCCACCCGCTTCCTTGGCTTGTTGTGTGCACGCGTGTGTGGGTGAGTGATAGAGGATGGAACCCAGGGCCTGGCACACTGCTAGGCAAGTGTTCCACCACTGAGCTCCACCCCAGCCCTTTTATTACATATTATTCTGAGACAGGGTCTTTCCCAGGCTAGACTCAAACCTGTGGTTTTCCTGCCTCAGCCTCCTGAGTCAGCCACAGAATTCAGTGGGCTTCTGCCAGGGTGCTCTGAGCTCACTGTCCCGGACAGTAGCAACCAGCTTACTTAGAAACCGCATAGAAAGGCTGAGGCTTGAACAAATACAACTATGACAGGATTATTTAGAGAACACTAGTGGGGACACTGCATTCCTCATGAATGTGGGTTTCCTTTTGGCGCACTCACTGAGGACAGAAAGTTAATTCTAACACCCCAATGGCTGGGGTTGTATCTCACTGGTAAAGGCCTGGCATGTGCTTAGCATGTGATGAGGCTTGATTCTCAGCACTGTGAAAAATGAAACAAAACGAAACAAACAGGCCCTGAGTCCACAAAAACTCCATGCCAAGGCAGCGTTGGAAGGTGGAGAATAACATGATCAGAACCATCTCAGTTCAGAGCCGGCTCTCCACAGGCCACACTCAGAGCAGTCTGGGTCTAACTCCAGCGTTCTCAGTTTCAAGCCCCGTGTCCTAAGACAGAATCCTTTACCCTCTCAATGGAGAAACTGATTTCATTAAGTTAATAAAACTTAATAAATCACAACGTGTTGCTTTTAAATCCCAAAATGAGCTGTGTGACTAAGGCACAAGGTGAGGGGGATGCCTGCAGCCCTCAGGAACAAGCTGAGCACCCAGGAGAAGCAGAGCCCGCTGCCACCCAAGTGTGCCAGGGCAACACCGGGCCAGCGGTTAAAACCCAGTGAGCGAGCCCCAGAGCACTGTGCTCTGGGAAGCAGCAGGCTGTGCACGCATGACCCCACCGACAGGCCGTGGGACACTGAGGGAGCACAGCTGGCCCTGGGGTTCGCCGCCACCTGTTGTGTTCACTAAAATCCCAGAACGTGGCACGGAAACACTGCCGGCCACCCTCTGCCCTAGCCAGCGACCTGAGCGCCAAAGCCAGGACCAGCATGTGCCAGGCGCCTGGCGCAGCCCAGGCGCATCCCAGGCGCTCTGCGGACACCGGGTTCTTTAACTCATCTGCGAGCCAGCTCAAGGCGGTGGTAAAGCGAAGCGCTTCATCTATGCACTGCCGGCACCTGGGCCACCAGCGCAGTGCTGTGGCGGGTGCTGCACCCTCGCCTTCCAGAGGAGGAATGCAGCTGGGGAGAGCCTGCCCAGGCTCTGCCCTGCCCGTCTCTGCTGTCCTCCTGGGGTCCCGTGCTCTGGGGACTCTTGGGCTCTGGGCTGCGACAGGGCCTGCTTTGTGCTCAAGCATTGGGCAGGAAACAGGCCTGGCTGCTGCCTGAGGCTGCCCTGGGAGGCAAGCTGGCAGCCTGCAGTGCAGGAGGGCAGGACAGAGGTGCTCAGTCTCCCCAGGCCTGCCTTCCAGCGCGTGGACCAGGAACTGGGCTGGACGCCCCAGCTCTGCTCTTCCTGCTCTCAATTCAGTCATGATGAGAAGACACAAAGCTGAGTTAAACCCTCTGGTACTCACATTCACTTGAGTGACACGAGTACTTAAAAAGTTCGGTATTAAACATGGCCTGACACCCACAGGGACAGTGCTTTTTCTGGCCTCTTCAGGCTGCCCTGGGTCAGCTGGCCTCGCCAGCCTTGTTAGGTGGAGAATGAGAAGGGAATGGCTGTTCCCAGGCTGTGCATACGTCACTGCCCTCCTGTTCTCCAGGCTCCTGGGATGTGCCATGGGGCTCAGGGACCGGCTGAGAATCAGCTGGTGGCCACTGCGGTCCTGCTGAGTCTGAGCCCTTCGAGCTGGGGTGACTTTTGGCTCTCTAGGGGCTTCTGGGGGCTTGGAACAGAGTGGGTAGGCTAAACAAAAGGCCGAAGGTATAATCGCACTGCTATTTAACTCAGAATTATTTAAAAACAGACATTAAAACTTGAATTTTAATTCTGATTACACTAGCAACATCTAAAAATGCAACATCCAACCTGCAACATCCAAACACAGCCAGGACAGAGCTCGTTCTTACTTGTTCCAGTGGGTCTTTGAGTTGCGGTAGAGGGATGGAAACATGATAGGCAGGATCTTCGCTGCGTTGTCGCTGATTAAGCTCATAATATATTCATTGTTCCAGTAATACAGTGCTCGCTCTGCCACCTGCAAGACACAGGTCCTGCTGGTGAGCACCTCAGAGGTGTGCTGTGCAAATGGCCTTACCGGTGACTCTGCAAACAGGGTACTTACACTACACCTGAAGGTACCAGTTTTTCCATAAATTCAGAGTAGTTAGACTGTCACCTTCCAGAACCTTCAACAAAGAGGCAGCAGATAATATCCCCACATCAAGAAATCAAGACCATCGTCATTTGTGTCACTAGTCCACAGACGTTCATGCTCGATGCCAAGCCAGATGCTGGGGACACGAGACCTCTGCCCAGCACCAGCCCACCCTGCCCACGAGGTTGCTGGCATGATTCAGGCTCCGAGTGAGGGAGGTGGCCCATGCCCGGATGGGGTGGACAAAGGATGGGCGATTATCTGATTTACTAGTAAGGCTGAGCTTCTTGAGAGACAGTGCTGTGAGGAGTGTGCACCCACGTGGCCAGGCCCTGTGATATTGTGAGGATGCCAGAGGAGCAGCCAGCTAGGGGATCTACCACATGCAGGCCTCACTCTGGAGAGAGGAACGCGTTAGAGGTTCCCTCCCTGTGCAACACGAAGGTGAAGGACCTTGGTCAGATGTACCACTGCCACACCTGTCTCCATGTGCTGCCTCTCCAGGCATGTGGGAGCTCTAGGCTGAACACCAGAGACCCCCAGACACCTCGCCTGTCCTTGGAGACACACAGTACAGGAGGCTGAGCAGTCACAGATCCTGAGATCACAACGCAGAGGTGCAGGGGAAAGCTGAGAGAGATGGGAACTGGGGAGAGCTCCTCAGAGGGCGGGAAGTGGGGAGCTTTGAACACTGGGGTGCATCTGCTGAAGGGGGAGGGCAGCCTAAGAATGCAGTGCATGAAGCAAAAAAGAACAGCATTAATGGTTTCCGGGATAATTCTTAAGTTTTTTGTACTTTCTTTCTTTTTTTTTTTGGTACCGAGGATGGAATTTACGATGTCACACTTGCCAGGCAGGTGCTTATAACACTGAGCTAAATTCCTGGCCCAGTTTTTGTACTTTCAAAAAGCATCCACCTGTCCATCCACCCATCCATAAATAAATACTCATGGAAGAAACAGTTTAACCTTGAACTAGAAAAACAAAAGCCTAAGACACTTGATGGCTTGAGTTCTGGATTCTGTAGTTTCTTTTTTAACATTGTCAATTTTTTTCTTTGACAGAAATTTTAGGAATGTGCTGGCCTCATGTGTATGTTTCTGGAAGATTCTGGAATGTGCTTGGTGTGGATCTGGGTCCTCCAAGAAGAGACGCCAGTATGGGACTGAACACAGAGGAGGCGACAGAAAGAAGGGTAAGGAGGCCTGCAGTGAGGGGCCCTGGAGCCAGGCCGGAGACATGCTCGCCTGCTGTCCTGAGGACAGGAGAGGATGACAGGCCCCGCTCACACGTACTCCTTGCAGTGCAGGCTCAGCCCTGTGCTTCCCACCCAGGCTCTGATTTAAACCACACTGGACGTCGTTACCATGCCCGTCTCCTCGTGGGAGTTCAGTACCACCCGCCTCAGTGGCTACGTGAGCATCTGGGAGGAGGCTCTGGTTCTCAGGAGCCTCCCAGGCTCGGCTCCTCCAGGTGCCCTGGGGTGCTGTCCTACAGCTTCCCGCACACTGCTCACACCATGGGTTCCACAAACCATGGTTTTCTTGTCCCAGCTCCTAACGGGAAAATGCTCAGGAATCTTGAGATGAAGGCCCAGCATCCCTTCTCCAGCCAGCCCTCTGCCTAAGGCAGCCCACCTGCGGGCACACACGGAGCTGCTGGGCCCTCTGTGCCTGCTGTCCTGCCATCATGATGAAGGCCTAGGTGGGAGCCCAGGTCGGTTCTAGAAGTTATGAGAAAGGAGGAGGCCAGCAGGTCCAGCGGGAAGGGCTGGATGTGCTAGCCCAGGGAGGAGGCTGCGGCCCGCCTGGGGGTGAGAGGGAGTGGGGACCCCGCGGAAATGACTCTGACCGGGGCAGGAATGTGAGAGCGAGAGGAATCAGAAACACCAAGTTTTATAAGATATAAGGGGACACAACTTCCTACGCTGTCACAAATGAAGAGCTTACAAACTGAGACAGCCCCAGAGCAAGAAGGCCCCGCTGAGCTGAGCAACAAGGCTGCCCTACCACTGAGTTGCCCCCAGCTCCTGTTACTGTGAGACAGGGCTTCATCAAGTTGCCAGGCTGCCCAGCTCAGGTCTGAATGTACGATCCTCCTGCCTCAGCCTCCCAGAGTGCTAGGATTACAGGCACGTTCCACCACGTCCGGCCCAGAGCTGGAAATCCTTATCCTCCCGTCTGTTATTAGCACTGATAATTCAGTGTAGAAAATAAGGTCATGTGAGTATGGACAACACCAAGCTTGAAAATAAACAGCTTTACAGAGAAATCTTTAATTTAAATTTTGAATTTTGTTGTACTTGGGATTAAACTCAGGTTCTCCAGTATTCAAGGGTGGGCACCTGTCACTGAGTTATACTCTCAAATCTTTATTTTGAGATAGAGTCTCACTATGTAGCTCAGGCTGGCTTGAATTTATGACCCCCCTGCCTCAGCTTCCTGAGCAGCTAGGATTACAGGTGTGTACCACTACATCTGTTGAGGAGCCATGCTAAATCACGCTGAGAAAAATATTTTCAGTCAGGAGAACAGGATGTTGCAGTATATTTAACAGAATTAAAGTTCTAGCATTGTTTTGAAGTACAAGTAAAAATACGAATTTTACCTTTAAATTACACAAGCAGCAAAGCAAGAGCAGCTGTGCCCCAAACCCTTGATTTCCAAGTGAGCATGCTGAGTAATGCTGTGACCTTCCCCAGACCCACATACCTGGAAGTGCGGGCTGGAAACACATTTGGCTAGCTGCCGGAAAAGAGGTTCCATGATCTTCACGAATTCGGATGGCTCGATCACATCTAAAATCTCTTCTAATTCATTTAAGAACATTACTTCTTTTGGACTGTGAGTCTTTGGCCAGTATTTGAGAAGTGCCATGACCACCTGTGAAAGAAACAGTACAGAAAGTGACGTCACCGAGGGTAGCTCGGCTTTCATTAAGGTGTCCCACTGCAAAGCAGCAGAGCGAGGACCCAGATTCACAAGTGACCACCAGATAAAAAGGTCTGGTGTTCCAGGGTCTGGAGTCATGTGACAAAAACACTCTGAGCAAGCACCACGTCAGCAAACCAGATTGTCTGGGTGAGTGGGGCTGCTGTATGCTGGGCAAGCACTTCACTACTGAGCCATGCTCTAGCCTATGTCAGTTTTTGTTTAAATTAAAAAAAAAAAAAAAAAAAAAAAAGGAAAAAGAAAAAAAACTCCCCCCCCCCACCACAAATGCATGATTAAAGAATAAGCAGTTAGGCCAGATGATGTGGTGTACACCTATAGTCCCAGCACTCAGGAAGCTGAGGCCAGAGGACTGATGCAAGTTCCTGGCCACCCTGGACTACCAAGTGAGTTCAAGGCCAGCTTGGACTGCATATCAAGACCTTGTCTCAAAAAGAAAAGAAACCAAAACCAAAACCAAACAAAAACCCCAGCAGAATTAGCAGATCAGGGGGGAATCACACAGAGCACACAAGTTCATGTATGTGTGTTAGTGTGGAAGGAGACTGTGGAAACTGTTGCCACACATGTACACACCCACAACCCATTTTTCCTATGAACTGCCTGCACGTGTGCACACGTACATGCACACATCTGTGAGCACACAGTGTCCACACTGTGCTGCAAGCTCTTCACAGAGCGCTGGGAGGCAGCTGCCACTGACTCACACCTGCAGGTGCCCGTGGGAGGAAGCGCGTGTTCAGACCCACTGGCCCCGGCCACACCCCACTGGTGGACCTACTCATGAGCCCCAGAAATGCTCGCTGGGGGAGCTGTGGTGGCCATGGCTTGGTGGGAGTGGAGCAGCACCCTCAAGCGTGTGCTCTATTCAGCCAGGCCATGGCGGCCACGGCGGCCACCTCATTTGTGGTATCACGCACTCTGCTGTCTGCCCAAGCTCCTCAGCTAGAAACAGCTCTGCTGGCAACCTTTCCTTTTCATTTGTTCCTGTAATTTCCAAGTCTACTGAAATCAGACAAGTAGAATATACTCAGCTTGACTCAATGTGAATTAGTATTTCTAGAGTTTATATATCTTAGTTTAAAAATATACAAGGACCCCAAAGGCATTTAATAGTATACACACACGTATGGACACATTCACATTTTGACACCCAGTTGTACAAGTATAATCAATCATTTCAAAGCAGCTGCGCAGCCTGGTCCAAAAAATGTTGGAGAGCCCCGTCTCTGCCCCGTGGCAGGCTTGGAACTGCTGCAGAGGCCTTGTGCACGGCAGCTCTGGGAAACCCCACCAACTCTTGCTCAGGATTCCTTGGTGGGGATTAAGAAACAAAGGGAGAACTTACAAAAATTCACTCAGAATAATTATGTTTTGATGCTTTTGGCATTTGGCCTCCTGAATGATCTATGAAAGTACATTTATAAAAATCCACCATTTATTTAAAAGTGCTCTGAATTTTAGCATTTGACTTAAAAATCTACAAATGAAAGAACATCATTTAATGATTATCCTCCTGCTTGTAGCTCAAAATTCGTAAATATTTACTAAGTACCTATTTGGTGTGCCCTAGCCACTGTAAGGCCTACAGCTGATGTGATGGTTCTTAGTGCTGCTTACGGGCATTTGTCCACCAGAGTTTTACGAGGAGAAGGACTCACGGTAGTTTGTGAGCTACCCACTGTCCTACACGGCTGGGACGGTGTTATTCCTGGACTATTCTCACACTATCTGGACCTGCGCTGGCCGAGGCGCCTGATCTGGCTGCTCCCGAGGTGGCAGGATTCTGCAGCTGGGTGACCGCCTGGGGATGCTAACGCCGGGACAGTGGCTACACATGGGTAGGGAAGGCTCCAGGTTCCCAGTCCACTGGGAACTCACAAAGTGGCTGGTTCTTGGGAGGGTGGGTAAGTATGGGTAGTCGAGGGAGACCCTGCCCTGCTTTCCTGGGAGGAATAAGAGCTGCCACCAGGCCGGGCAGGTGAGGTGAGGAGACACAGGTCTGCCATGAGCCTCTAGTCTTACAAGTAGTAAATATTCATGTGCCCAGAAAGCTTCAGTCCAGCACACACAGCCCAAATGAAAAACACTAATTACAGGGTATATAAAAGGGGCAACAAACGTCCTTTATAAAGGTTTTTTTTTCATGGTGCTGGGCACTGCACCCAGGGCTTTGAACTGCACCACATCTCCAGGTCTTTAGTTTGAGATGGTCTAAGCTGCTCAGGATAGACTCAGACATGAGATCCTCCTGTCTCAGCCTCCCAGGATGCTAACATTACAGGTGTGCCACAGGTAGATCACATCCACAGGAGCATTCCTGAGCCCTGACAGTGAGAGTCCCACCCGGGCAGGCCTGGGGCCCACGCATGCCCCACACAAGTGCCAACTTCACGAGCGCCTATGCTTGGTCTTGCTGCTGCTGAGCATTCACCACTTGGATCAGACAACACGGCCTCTGTGTTTTCTAAGTGTGATTCTGAAGGAGGAAATTTACTGAGGTGAGGGGTGAGACACTTTTAGGGCAAAGCTGCTTCTGTAGTCAGGATGGTGCCACCACGTCACCGTGTGGAAGGAACAGGAAACGCAGTGGTCCAGTGTGCAGCTTGTTCTGCACGGGTGTCTGTGAGCGAAAGCCCCTACCTCCAGTTAGACAGCCGGGGAAGGGGACAGGATTTAGGCTGGGACAGCCCATGGCTGGGTGGTGACCCGAGGGGAAGCCACAGTACAGCATGGGGCTCTTTAGCTGTTACCAGGTGTGAGGAGCATGCAGAGAAAAACCATCACACAAAAACGCAGCTTGCTTTTCCTCTTCTGTATCTGTCTTTACTTAGGTTTCTGATAACAAACAGAGGCAGGGTTGCTGGAATTTCTTTACATATTGCTTTCTCAGGAAGAGCTCTCTCCCTTCAGTTTGGAGATGTTAGATATGGACAGGGGAATTAGGGCATGTGAACATGGAAGAGAATACCATATAGAAAGACAGTAAAGAGGATGAAAGCCCCACATCCTCGTGGAAACTGGAGTAGGCAGGTTGACTGGGCTTGGAGAGGAGTCTGATAGGGTCCAGGGCCTCTCATTTTGGTTCCAAACTCTAGGAGCCTGGAGCCCAGCGGGGCGAGGCCCGGGATGGGCTCCTGCAGGCCCACAGTGGCCCCGCCTCTGCAATCCGGAGTTTCCTGTGTGAGATGGGGAGTCCACACACAAGTCAAGAGCTTAAAAGAAAGCAGAGCCCAGAAACTGGTGTAACATGAGAAACCACTAAGATTTCTCTGCATTTCCTTTATAAAATGGGACAGACAGGACTCAGGAATTATAATATCCGCCTTTTCTATTAGGACAGCCATTTTAAAAAGAGGATTCAAATGTTTAAAGTAGCACCTGATGCTCCTTATTTCTGTTACTCAGTAATGAAAAGCAAGCTAGTTCTAAAAAGCAGGCAGTGCACTGAAACGCGCTCTTCTCCACAGAGGACATGCATGGCCAACAGCCAGAGCCTCGAGAGCAGCACGTCAGTCACCCAGGAAGTGCCACACACAGCCTCACAGGGTGCACCGCACACCACTGGGAAGGCTGCGACACTAAGGTGCCTATTCTCGAGAAGAGGGACGCACACTGGGGAGGATGCAGAGGTACAGGGAGCCCTGCGTGCTGTGGAAGTGGCCGTGGCTGTGGAAACGGATGGTGGCTGCAGAGAGCTGATGACCACGTAACTCAGCAAGCCCACTTCTGGGGAGACAGCTTGACAAGTGAAGCAGATGAACACACACACGCACAGCTGTGTTCACAGCTCACTGTTCACAGTGGCCGAGAGCGGGGAGTGCCCCAGCGCCCACTGATGAGTGAGCAGAACTCGATCTGAACATGCGAGGGAATGCTTTTCAGTGACAAGGAGGGTGATGTTCTGACCCCGGGTGATGATGCCTGCAGGCCTCAGGCTAAGGAAGAGGGGCCAGGCACAGAAGGAAGACCCCCAAGTGATTCCACATATACAGGCAGCTGGGATTCTCGGTCATATGTTAGCGGGTGTTGGGGTCAAGGACCAGGGTGTGGTCATTTCATGGGTCCGGAGTGTCTGTCTGAGATGGTGATGTTTTGGAAACAGTGATGTTGAGGGGATGGATGACAGAGAACATAATTGATGCCATCGAACTGTACATTTAGAATGGTCAAAAGGCAAACTTCATGTTATATATGTGTACATTTTACCATAATTTAAAAAGTTAATAGTGTAATATGTCAAACTTCTGAGTTATATACTTTGAATAGGAACATGGTAGACATGTGAATCATACCTTACTAATTTTACTGATTTTAAAAAGTGTATGCAAGCGCTCAGATTGGCACCTGACATACCTGCTTTCTGTTAACCTTGGCTAGCATAGCCTTTTGAGAATTTTTAATTAAGATTAAAAATGCTAAGAAAATGAGAGATCCTTCCTTCACCTGTGACACACTGATTACCAGACAGTGCCACACTTCCCTTGGACAGAGCTTTCAGGGAACAGCCCCTTTTAGTAAGATAGCACTGCATACCCCCTTGCAACGCCTCTGCCTGGAGCTGGCACGCGTGGTCACACCAGGCAGAGGCGGAGGGCTCTGCTGTATGCGGGTGGTGGCGACAGCACCCGGGGACTCTGCATTTGAGGGCCCAGGCACAGCACGACAGGCTGATCGCAGATTCTCAGAAAAGGAACCAGCAGCGGCCCTGCCACCCTCAGAGACCCGTGCCACGAGACAAGCTTGGCCTGCTCCTGAGTGCCACGAATGAAGAGGAAACACTGCTCGGCAGCGTCAGGAAGCAGGCATGCTACACTGTGACACTCGGGAGGCACACGCATTCACACGCGCAGTGGGCAGTGCACACTTACTGGCTCGGTGAGGGTGCTGTCCTTCTCCAGAAACTGCACAACACAGTACGCCAGCTGGGAAGCAAGAGGAGGAGCAGCGTCAGTGCTGGACGTGTCCATGGGACCATCACCGTGAAACAACCTCCTGGGCCAGCCAGGGCCTGACATGGCCAGGGTGGGACCCCGGGATTGATGCTCAACCCATAATCCTTTCCTCATTAAATGGGGATAAATTTGAAGACAAAAAAATAAAAAACCAAAAAAACCAAAAACCAAAAACCAAAAAACAGAAAAATCAGGAAACATCTTTTAGACATTGGCAAATCAACCCAGTGTACAGGGATTCTTGTCCTTTTGAAGATTAGAATGAGTAAATAATCTAACAGTTGGAAAATAATTAAAATGTGGTTTTCTCTCCAATTTCTCAACTATTAATTCCACTAGTATAACAATGTGATAACATACTGGCTGGGCATAAAAATGTTAGCAGTTAACAGCAATTAGAGGAAATAAGTAAAAGCTGTCGCAGGAAGCCAGTGTCTTGAGCTGAGCACAGAATACACTTTCTGTCATTCACCCCACACTGCCACTCCCAAAGTGAGGCTGCTGAAGCGCAGTCCTCATGCTCTGACCCCGGTGGCCAGGCTGCCCGGGCCAGGCTGGGTGACAGCGAATGTAACCAACACATGAGGGCTGCTGAAGGGAGTGCCAATGGCTGCAGTGCCGCCTTCAGCACGGTCAGGGCCTGCCTAGGAAAGCGTGCAGCGAACCCACCCACTTCTCCTAGGTGAACAGTAACTAACCAAGCAGTAACCACTTGCTCACTTACCAATGTAACTACAGGAGGTTCCAGCAGTTTCAAAAACCTACTTTTTAGAAAACTGTGTCTCAGGCCATTTGACTGGCCATGAGCTCGAGGGTGCTGAAAACCAGCACCAAGGACAAGCTGTCTCTTGAGCAGCCCCCGACTCCTTGAGAGCTAGCCAATTTCTCCTCTGGGCCATGGCTAACTTCCCAGTCCTGCACCCAGGCGCAAGTTCTGACCTCACGGCAGGAGTCTACCCTGCTGTTACTGTGTTACTGCTCCGACTTGTTACCAGAGTCACTAGTGAGACTCGCTCCCGGGTACAGCTAGGAGCTGTGGCCTCTTACCTGGGGATGGTAGACACTCAATGACTTCACCTTGTGCAAAGGCAGTAACACCTTCAATAAGAAAATCTTGTGCTCTTCTTTGAGTGGTAAGGCAAATCCATTAATTATACTGTAATGACAAAATGTATTCGAAGCTTGAATATTTAGATTTCATATCATAATCAAATGTCTCCCCCACCAGAACCTTAAGCTGCTAATGTTCACTGAATTCCCAAAGAAACACAGGTGAAAAGTACTTGCAGTATATCTACCTCAGTACCCTGTTTGGAAACAGTGTTAGTGCAGCTATGTAAAATTGCTTACCAATTAAAAAAAATAGCAAGCAAAAACTTTCCTTGGACAAAGACGATGAAAGTTTTGAAATGTTAATTGTAAGTATGTATATGAAAAATCCATAGTCAAAAAGCAATTTGAGATTATTAGCATTCACTCAATATAAAAATGTACAATCTATTCTTCTAATAAGCTTCTCTTACAAACTTCTTATGTTACTATTTTTAACACTGCTCACCAGGAAATAACTGAAATCCCGTAGTTTCCATAGTAATGATACCAAGGTGTATGGTGTACCTACAGAACCATAATGGGGACAGATGTGCCATTCGGTCACTGGCTACCAGCCACACAGAGTCTTACCTCCCCAATATTTCCAGTAATTCTGCTATGCCATTGTGATGCTCTGTTTCATAAATAAACCTGGAAAAATAACAATTTGTCTATTACAATCAGACGCTGAAATAACACCTGGAAAGACTAAAATCCCCTGGATAAGGAAAAAAGCCCGCAGGAGGAAAGCTGGGCCGTGAGCAGCATGGCGCTTGTGAAATTCCACACAGGCTGGGGATGCAGCTCTGTGGTCCGGCCCAAGAGGCCCCGGGCTTCTTACCCACCCAGAGCTGCATAAACAGAAAAACCAAAACAAACAACAGCACTTCTGTCACTGCCTCAGGAACCCTGCGGGCACCGGGAGGCTCCCTGAAGCCTGGAGACACGAATGCCTGTGGTGGAGAGTGTCCTCTCAGGTCTCTTCCCGGACTGTAATGACGTATTTTAAAATTTTTTTGGCCTTAGTTTTGAAACAGGGTCTTGCTGTGTGGGCTCAGAACTCTCTAGGTAGTCAAGGCTGGCCTTGAACTCAGGCCTCCTGCCTTGGTCTCCTTCGCGCTGAGATTACAGGTACAAGGTACTACCCTTAGCTCCAGGATGTTATTTTGAAAAATTTCAAGTATCCAGAAAGGTGTTAAGAAGTTTATTGTGTACACTCATGTTTCAGTCATGCAGACTCCGTCACTTACAATTTGCTCTATTTTTTTGTAACACATATGCTCTTCACCTTTCTATCGAGTCATTAATCCACCTAACATTTTTATTGCATTTTGCTTTAGGCTGATGTCTTACTCAGTTTTAAAGCTCTCAGTGTTGAGCACGATTGCTGCAAAAGACAGACACGACCTCCTCTAATACATTTCTTGGGCTGTGTCGCTCCCTTCTCCACTGACAATTTGCACACCTTCTGAGCTGACGCACACGTCACTCCTGAGGTGCCATCTGCTTGAGCCCTCGTCCCCTTCCACAGAGCAGGCTCTTCCTGCTGAGCTCCCAGGCCCGCACGCCACCCTGTGTGTCAGCCGGTCTCCTTCGTCTCCCTCCAGACAGAATGAGGACTTCTCATTACTGTGTTCATGGTGCTAGGACCAAGTCTGGCATCTGGGTAGGGGGCAGGAACACGTCAGGAGGCAGGAAAACGTCTTCCCGCGGAAGGACTCCCTTGGAAAAGGAAGCCCGCATCTGCCCCTCGGGCAGGCAACACCGCGCCCATCTACCCTGACATGTGCAGAGGGTGGCATGAAGCCAGGTACTGGGAAATGTTCCTGCCAGCACAGGAAACTTCATTTAGAGACAGCTCTCGGCCAAAAGTCACCTTGTGAAGATTCAAACATCGGACTGAAATTTCAGCACATCAAGAACCAGAGCAGTGACCTTAAAGTGGAGAACGGGCAAACATTCGCAGACACGAACCAGGTGTGGGGATGGGTCTGCACACCTGCAGGTCTCCAAATGGCCAGGATCCATGCAGGGACCATGGCTTGGGCTGAGCCCCAAAGGCAGGTTTCTGACAGACTCACAAAGGTAGGGCACAAAGAGGGACAGAACTAAGTTCTGTAAAATAGGGTGATGGGGAGGGACAGGCAAGGCACTGAGGCCACCGGGTAAACTGAGACACAGCCCATAGGTGTCAGGACCAGCACTGAGCAAGGGAACACGAAACACAGAGGTGCTGGGTGTGGTGATGCTTGCCTGTAATCCCAGCACTCGGGGCCAGGAGGTCACTGTGAATTCGAGGCCAGCATGAGTTCAGCCCGAACTACACAGTGAGACCCTGTGTCAAAAAACAGAAGAGAAGGAACAGAAGAGGAAGAGGAAGAGGAAGAGGAAGGAGGAGGAGGATGAGGAGGAGCAGATGGTGCAGCTGGCCTGGAAGCGCAGCAGGGCGTCCTGGGAGAGCTGGCAGCAGAGTGCGCGGAAGGAGCCGCACGGCTCCCATCACCTGCTTCCTAAAGCAACCCGACCGTGCACTCTCCAAGCATTGGTTCTTAGCTTCTGGTTATTCTAATTCAGTCTGAAGTGAGTATGAGAAAGCAAGTGGGAAGAGCTGTCCTCTGTGCTTTTCCAGAGGGGGCGAGGCTGGAGGGAAGCGTGGGCTCTGTTCAGGGCAGGCCCAGGGGTGCTCCCCCTGCCAGAAGAGGCCCAAACCTCTGCTCTCAGGCTGCAGACCGAGGCCACCAATCTGCAGGACATGCTCCGGACCTCATGTGGCAGACGGCCTGCTTTCCCTCCTGGGGCAGCCGTCCTGTGACCTGCCTTGCCAACACAAAGGTGGAACTAACCTACGCCAGCGTCAGGCTGAAGCCTAGACTCAGAAGACTGGTAGCTTCAGTGGGCCTCCTTGCCAGAGCAGCAGTTTCCTGCAAGAAGCTGCATACCCAAGGCCTCAAGGACATGAGTGAGAAGTCCTCACAGACACCCAGCCCTGCAGACAGCCTGTGGAATGGGACTGTTCAGAGCCCAGGGAAGGGGACAGGCTTCTTAGAACAGCAGACGGTGACTTAAGTCTAACCAGAGTGACAGTGGAAATGTCAGCACTCTCAGAAGGTCAAACCAGTACACTGAGAAGGCCTTTTCTTACAAGGCACTGCTGCACAGCGGGGAACCCCTGCCTGAAATACCCAGACTGGCAATGTTCTAGATGCCAGAGGTCTTCAGATGTTAGGACTTTTGTGTGTGTGTACATATATATGTACATATATTATATATTTAATGTAACATTTTTATATATATTTAAAATCTTAAGGATGGAACCCAAGTTGAAAGCTGAAATTCATTTATGTCTTTTATATATAGCTTGAAGGTAATTTTATATAATATTTTCACTGTGATTTTAAAATTTTTTAAAATTAAAAATTACTTTTCTGCTGGGTATGGTGGCTCACACCTGCAATCCCAGCACTTGGGAGGCTGAGGCAATCTGAGACCAGCCTGGGCTACAGTGAGCTTTGTGAGTTTCAGACTATCCTGGGCTGCAAAGTGAGCTCAAGGCCAGCCTGAACTGCATAGTAAGACTCTGTCTCAAAAAGACCAAAAAAGAAAAAAAATTACTTTTCTGCGATGAGGTCTTGCTCTATGGCCCAGGCCAGCCTGGCTTTCCCAGGTTCAAACAACCTCCTGGCTTCGCCTCCAGCAGCTGGGCTGTGGTGTGCTGCGCCTGCAGGGGCCACATTTCTGCGGAGGCACAGGAGTGCAATTTTCCATCTTCAGGTTGTGTCAGTACAAAGTTTTTAAAGTTTGGAGCACTCTCGATTTCATAGTCTGGATTTGTGCTCAGCCTGTATTTCACGGAACTTAGAGGAACTAAACACATCTTTCAAGGACCTTTTTTTTCTTCTGTGAAAATGATAGTTATGGCCCAAACCAATTAGAATCTAAGTAACAGGCTTGCTTTGGTTGTACATAGCAAGATAATTATAGAAAAGATTACTTAAAGAGAAAATCCACAAAATCATCACATTCTGGCACTGATCCTTTAGTGTGGACTCAACTGAATCATGTGTAATTCTTTAATGTGGTGTTTCACAGATTTGTGGTTCTGCTATCTGAACAAAACCTACTTGTGTTGAGGAAACAAAAACACTGTGGGAAAAGCTTTAATTTTAGGACTAAAAGGCTGAAATTTAAATTGTGTCTGTGAGATGTTACTTAAATCCTGTATATCATGTTTGATTGTAAGGACACTGGCCAGGTAAAGATCCTGTTAAAGAGGAGCAGTAGGACATGAGGTAGAGAACCACATGTGGGAGTGACGTCACTGGGACCAGGGCTGGCATGCTGGGCCAGGCTGCCTTCAGCCCCAGGCTCCTTCACGTAAACGGGACACGCGCACTCGGAAGGCATTCACAGGAAAGCCGCACATAGTGAGCGGCTCCAACGCCAAAGTGCGGATGGCACGAAGAACGGGACTGGAACTGATCCCCGTGACTCCAAGCACGGGACTGCACACGGGGCTGGAAGGGATGCAAGGGACAAGGGCTGGCCCTCAGCTGCGGCTCTCAGGCTACGTGGCTGCCCACCGCTTCCCTGGCTCAGTCACTGCGGCTAAAGAAAGGCCGCCGGCACACGCATGGCTGTGGGGGCACCATGGGCCCCACTGCTGGGAAGTAACTCACTCACTTATCCCACAGGGGACACCATCACCGCCCTGTCACGGTTAGGATCCATCTCTTCCCTAGGTCACCTCAGAGCTAATTCATGTCTGAGACAGACTAACCTACGAAGCCAAAAGCTGCAGGTGAAGTGCTCATGTGCTACATTTTCCAGGAATGCATAAGGAGTGGCATGAGCTATTTCCCTTGCCAGCCAGTGTTCACCCAGTGCCACTGCAGCGCGTGACCTACGGGCCACGTGGGGAGGCTGTCCTTGGGGATGGAGCTGAGCCCTCCCTATCAGGCAGGGCTTCTAACTGAAGGGACATTCCGGGAACTGGCAGCGGGGGGCTGGCAGGCCAGTGGGTAGGGGAGGACGGCCCGGGAGGGCCACACGGGAGCAGGGTGTGAGCAGGGGTGGCCAGAGAAAGCTGCACCTGTCACACAGAGGCAGTGACAGGCACATGTGTCTGGTTGGGGGGCAGTGAGGGCGCAAGAATGAATGTGCTTGGCCAGAGCCACAACCAGGGGCAGGAGGTAATGGCGCGAGAGGGAGGTCACGGCCATGGCCACGGCCAGCCTTGCGCTTGGATGCTGGAGTGTTTCTTCTGTGCTCTGGGCTGCTGGCCCTGAGACAGGCATGGCACTGGACAGCTGTCCACTCTGCCTCCCCAGCCTCCAGCCAGGTCTGCTCTCTGCCCACCTCACCTCTCAGCTCTCACATCTCCCCAGGCTAAGGTTGTCACCTCCCTCTGCACTGTCCCCTCCCACCCTCCCGGAGGACCCATGAAGAGTGAGCAGTACATGGGTGGAAGGGTCAAGCCGTTGGGACCAAATTGGTCCAACACACTTTAGGGCAGCGTGCAGGATCACGGTGGGCTCTGAGGGGCCAGGGTGGGGGTACCGGGGGGCTAGCGGGACAGGGGTGGGAAGGGAGGAAGGAAGGGAGAGCTGGCCTGGCCCCTGCACCATGTAACCCAGGTCCCTATGCATGACAAGCAGGCTGTCAACCTGCCCTGGGGCTAACCTACACCAAGGACCAGAGGACGACCTGAAGTGTGGTGGTGAGCAGCCCCACGCATGGAGGGACTTACCTATAAAATATATTATTTATCTGTTTCCTGATGTATGCTCTCAGGCCTAGGAACTTCCCGTAGATTCTGTGAAGGGTGGTTTTAAGAAAATCTCTCTCTCGAGGATCCTCACTGTCGAAGAGCTCTAAAAGCTTCCAGAGGAAAGAGAAATTCAGTGCCCCGCGGAGCGGGCTGCAGCTCAGGTTGGCAGTCCCCGCTCCCTGGACTTACCTGCAACACGAACTTCTGATCAATATATTTCTTTGCTATGTTAGGCTGGAAATCTGGAGACTCTAAAAATCTTAAGAAAAATTCATAAACAAGCTAGGGAGGGAAAAAAACAACAATGCGTCAACATAGTGTTTTATCAATTGGAGATTAAAATACACTAGAAGTTGAACCTTTATTTGCCTGAAAATACTAGGCTTTTTAAAAAGGCCTCACCCTACAGTTCAGTGCTGAATTATGTGGCCTACCTTAATCATGACTACCTTAATTATGACAAGTAACAGTAGTTACTTGATGTGGTAAGGCCCACAGACCATCCCGTAAGCAGCACCAAGCAATGTCCCCCAGGGCCTGTGTCACCCACACCCCACCCGCTGCTCAGAGTCCACAGAGCTCAGCTGCCTCCACCAGGCCAAGAGCAGCGCTGGGCAGCCCCTCAGCCGGAGTGTCCGCCTCTCATGTCACCTGGTGACCACTCGGGCCGACACTGCGACCCCAGGGACATGTGGCTCCCTGTCCCTGGCTGCTGCACTGTCTGGTTCTGGCCCTGTTCCCCACCTCTCTTTGCCTTCTTCGGGGTGACTCAGTCCTCCGCTACTTGCACATCCTGCATTGCTCTGCTCATGCTACGCCAATGCCTCCTAAGGAGTCAGCCGTGTGCCTCACAGAGAGGCGAGCACAGGAAGCGCTGCGTTACCTCCTCTAGGCCTGGCTCCAGGGCATCATCCACATGATGATCCCAACAATCCCACGTGGCTAAGTGTGCATAAAACCCCAACACAGAAGCATACACGCGCACACACACATGCACATATACACATGCACACGTACACACTTTGTTTCGCTCAAACACTCTTCTTATGTATCTGAGTTTGCCAGTTCTGTGCTACTCCAAGTTAGGGGTCACTGGGCAGCGGCTGAAAGCAGAGCCAGGGCCATGACCCTGGCCCCTGGAGCCCCCGGGACCTTGTACTGGGCCCGCCCTCCTGTTCAGGTCTGCCCTCTGGGACCAGTACCTGCAGATGAGGCCAGGCTGCTTCTAAAGTTGGTTCATCTTCCTCAGGGTCAAATTCTGCTCCCGTTGGGTTGGAGGAAGGTGGCAATGTTCGAAACATATTAACTGCAAACTAAAACCCACAGATTCTATGATCATAACCAGAACATTTAAAAAAATTTATCAAGAGCATTTAAAAAAGTACTGAGTGATTCTAGTGATGGCACTTCCAACACAGGGACTTGTCTTTATTCTCAAAATCCAGAAGCAGTGGGGGTCCACAGAGGGAGCTGAGGTCCAGACTGTAGCAGGAAGCAGACCACCCAGGGCAGGTGGCCACCAGTCTGACCACTTGAAGTCACACAGTGAAGTCCTTTCAGTGCTTGACTGTCAAGCTTTCAAAGCCAATGACACCACCAATGCTAACAGGGTCCCCCCAGCTCCACACGGGCCTACACAGTGCAGCACAGCACTGCACACTGCACACTGCCCCGCCAGCCACAGCTGCGCGCTGCACATCCCCGGCAGGGAGTGTGGAGAGAAGCATCAGCACTGGTTTTCAGCTCTCTGGTCTGCCATTTGTTTGCAAATCTATATTCTGGAAAACAGAGGCACAGACTGGCCATCATAGCTAGACCACGAGATACAAAAACCAAAATGCAAGGTATGAACGAAAATTCAGTGAAGATTTAAACTAAAAAATTTTATTACAGTAAAAGACAACATTGCTATTAATCCCCTTCAAAATCCTCCTCCTCCCTTCTAACTCCTTGCCATTGTTCTGGCCACTTTCTGAAGCAGTTCTGAAAGACCTGGTTCATGAGTGTCTTCAGTGGCATTGTCACAGCTGCCTTGACGTTCTGAATTGATTCAGATTGTTTCTCTTTCATGGTCGTTTTGACTTTGGGGAAGAGCCGGAAGTTGCAGTGCCAGGTCCAGGGATGAGGTGGATGAGGACCCACCATGATATTTTGACAGCGCTGCCTTTCTGTTGAATGGCATCCAGCAGCATATTCACTGCATTTCTGATCACACCATGCAAAGACACCCATGGCTGTGGAATTGCTTCAAACAGTGGTGGGAATGGTAGGATAAGTGAGTATGAAGAGAGGGGAGGACTCTGAAGGTGATTAATAGCGATGTCTTTTGCCGTAATGAATTTTTAAAGTCTAAACACCCACCACATTTTTGATCACACTGTGTGCAAAGTGGACAGCAGCAGCCTCTTCACCAACTCCAAACTACTACTGACTGATGGGTAGGGAGGCCCCCCCCGCAGCCTGTGAAGCCCTAGGAGTCGCACCGCCGTCCTGATGATGGGCACCACAAGTAACAGCTGTGGAGGGCTGCCATTCACAACACGGCCTCACGGGGCAACTTGCAAACTCACAGCCAGGTACACGTAACCAGCCTCACTGCTGCCTTCCTCACTAGGGCAGGGAGCTCTAATCTGCTTTCCCGGCACCAGGATCTAGATGGCATCATGGGGAAAGGAAAGCCAGTGCCTGGTGCTTATGTCCTAGGTCCTCAGATGCCTACTGAGGGCAACAGAGTCTCCAGGAAGAGTACGCACTGGTCACCTTATTAACTGAGACACCCAGTAATTACCCGTGGGTTGTGAGAAGCACTGGATTCCACCTCTAGCTCTTGGTTGTAATGTAATTACAGTCCTAATTGCAAGCTCTTCTGTGATGTTGCACATTTTCTCTGGAACATTCATCACACATGTAGCTGGATGGCTGGGTGATTCTCCCTGAGTGTCTACCTGCCCCGCCCCAGCCCCCAACAGAACGAGCACTAGGAGCAAGCATGGGCCCTCTCCATGCCACACCGTCACTTTTGGCATGGCCAGAGCGCAGTCACATGATACAGTTTCCCTCCAAACAGATGCCAAGACATGACATTTAAGAAAAAGATTACACTTAAAATTCTTATTTTGAGTAGCTTGTTACTTTACAATCTACTCAAATACAGGTGGAGTACCCTATCTGGAATGCTAGTGCTTCCCTAAGCACCAGCTGAGGCACAAAGCTACAATTATAACTTATGCAAGTAGTTTTGATCACTAATTTTATAACCACTGCTGGATCACCTGTGTGGATGCAACTGAGTGTTCACTGAGCAACTACTATGGAATAAATGAAGCAGAGACTGATGCTTGCAGATGAGATGCCGTCACAGGTTTACCCTGCAGCCTAGCAGCACAGCAGAGATGTGTAAGATCAGGGCTTTGCAGCCCATGTGTTTGGTGAGGACCAGTGGTCTCTGTGGGTGGGGCAGATGAGGGGAGTCCCATGCTTGCCCCTGCAGTTTCCAGGCTGAAGGGCCCTGGTGAGGGCCAGCAGGAAGTGTTTGGGCTTTGTAAGGTTGAACCCAAAGGGGAGAGAGCTGTACTCGAGGGACTCCAGGGATGCGCAAAGGTCACCTGCAGTCAGCAGAGTCCCAGATGGCAATCTTGTGTGAGGACGTCACCAGAGGAGGGGAAAGGGCCGGTGAGAACCCAGAAGAACTGGTCCTCTGTATCTGTGCGTTCTTCAGAGTCAGCCTAGGCCCCAAAGCATTGGGAAAATAGTCTGTCTGTCCTAAACACACAGATTCTCCTTGTCATCATTCCCTAACATCGGGGTGGAACAGCCAATCATGCAGCATGGACACTGTGGTGTGTGTAAGTAAGCAAGAGATGGCAACGCAGATGGGAAGAGACCCTCAGATGTGCACAACCAAGAGGGGTCCTGGAACCAGCTCCCCGGAGGCACTGAGGGAAGTGCCTGTTCCCACCAACCACACCGGGAAACTCATAATTCCTGAGGCGCTGGAGTCATTATCAGAAAGGTCTTGTTTCATTAGTGAACAATTTAGCAGTGGAATTCATATGGGTTTGGCCCTGCCTAACAATCTTAAAAAGCATGAACCAAAGGTATCAAACTATTTCTAAGTAATTTAATTTCATCCCCAAACAAATCTCAAGAACATTAAATACATATCAGCATTTAAGGCAAAATCCACAATGCCAGGCATCTAGTTAAAAATTACCAGACAAACAAAGAAGTAGGAAAATACGCTTTATAATATCAGGAAAAACCAAGCAATTGAATTTAGCTGGAAATGACACAGATACTATTAGGATTAGCAGACAAGGATATAAAAACAGGATTCTATGTGTTCTGAAAGCTTGGTGTAGACATAGAAGTTATAAAAAAGAAAAATCAAACTACAACAGATGACAACTATGATATGTGAGATGAAAAACTTGCCAGATGAAATTAGCACTAGATGAGAAAAGATCTGTGAACTTGAAGACATCAGAAGGAGAGGGATAAGGAAGGAGAGAGGCAGGAGACAGAGAGGGAGGAAGAGGGAGGGACAGAGACAGGACAGGACAGGGAGAGGAGGAGGGGGAGGGAGAGACAGACAGAGACACAGAGAAAAGAAAGTGAGCAAGTCAGCAAGGACCAGCAGTGGGCTATGGGACAACTCCAAAAAGCCTGAAGCACACAGTGTGTCACTGAAAGGATACAGGGGACGGAGAGTCGCTTTTGAAACGAGAATGGCTGCTTTTCCAAACCTGATGAAAACTACAAACAAGAGAAATGAAGGGAACCATTCCAGGACACACCGTAAGCAAATGGCTTTCCAAGAGCCGAGCAGGAAAGACGGGAGGCTTGTGGAAGGAGACTGGTATGTCTTGAAGTATATTTCAGAGGCAGTTTCTCCGTGGAACATCTTTTTCTTACCACCTTCTAAGCTTCTTGTTATAGGCTGGTGGTAGTAGCAGTAAAATGGGTGATATCAAAGAGAACTGCCTGCAAGCATTTATTTCCAACCCAAATGCAGCCTAACCTTGTGTTTGCTCTACAGACTCTTCTCTTCCAGATGACTACGTATATACCTGCAAAGCAGGCCTCCTTGTGATTTCTGGCAGCGGGATGGTAGCACGCTACCACTCCTCTGTGGACACTGCATATGAACACACAAAATCAATCCTCAGTCAGAGCCTGTGTACAGCAGTGAAGGAACACAAGATCAGGTGCTGAAAACCAGATTAGAACACCACCCTGGGCCAGGACCTAGGCTAGAGCAAGTTAGCAAAGTGTGCTGCACTGCAAAGCATCACTGGTGTCCTCAAGGCCAACATCACAGGCCTCGTGTGAAACTGAACGCTTCCAAAGACAGATGAGACTGAGGTTCTTGGAAGAGTCAAAACCTGCCTTGTCTGCCACTTGAGAAAGAACATTTTAATATGCTGTATAGTAAAATAATACCTTTTTCTTAAAAAAAAAAATCTTGAAAGCATCCAGGAAGGAAAAATACAATCAGTCCAGGAAAGCAAAGCAAAGAGTGACAGCCGACTCCTCATTAGAAACAGTGGGCATCGGAGGGAGAAAGACGTTTTCAGTGTGCCGGCTCCCAGAGTTCCCCGTCAGCAGACCTGCACCCCAGCAAGTACTAGCAGTTCTGGGCCGCTGCTGATGCCAGACAGGGATCCGGAGCGTGCAGTGGAGGAAGAACACGCCGAACAGTAACTATCTGGGTCAATACAGGAGCTCTGCACACATAAGTGGGCAAGCTTTTAAACACAGAATCACTCAAAATAAAAATAATAAGGAGTTGTGGCATTTATAACATGACAGTAGCAGAAAAGGCAGGAGAGCAGAACCAGAATACTGCTGTAACGCAGTGGGTTTTTTATGAGTCCACCTTTCCAGTGGATGGCACGCACGACATCAAATGACATCACTTGAAGTAAACTATAATGAAGATGCATAAACAAAATCAAATGATAAAGAATTACACCCAAAAAAGTCAAGAAAGGAGTTACAGTGCAATCCTAAAATGCTTAGAACTGATTCAAAACAAAGAGGCAGAGGAAAGGGAAACAAAGCACAGATGGGACAAAGAAGAAATCAGCATCGTGGGAGAGTCTTACGTCTCAAATGTGATGCTGGGGACTGAACCCGGGGCCTTGAAAATGCCGAGCAGATGCTTTATCACTGAGCTACATCTTAGCCCAGGTGGTAGATTCTAGCCCAAGTATATCAATAACCACTTTAAAAGTGCCCAATCAGAAGGCAGAAATTCTCTAATTGAATAAAAAAGTGAGATCCAGCTACGTATTACCTACAACACGCCTAT